CAATCAGCAATTGTATCATGTTTTACTGAATTTTTCAAACTAGCCGATGCTTTGAAATATTGATCAGATTTTCATTTCATTTTTATTTTTTATTAAGTACTAATTGCTTTTAATGTTTCACTTCAGATTGTAACAGAATATATTAAAATAATTCAACATGAATCAGAAAAATTTTTTTAAAAAAAGACTTCATTTTATTTTCTCAATTCTTTTGTTAAACTAACTTCGAATAATATTTAAATACACATGGGCCTTTAAATCTCATTGACTAGTAAGAATTGTTCGTACAGCTATATTTGACATGAACAATGATTGTATTTTATTAATAGTCTTTAATAAATATTCAATTATTATTTATGTTTATCTAATATTAATGAAACTATTTATATTTGCATATCGAGTATTTCCTTTCAAATGATTTTTGGAAAAAATAAATTCAAGTGTGTATTTAATTCAAATAATAATGAATCGTATAAATTGATCAAGCTTATCAATGAGTGTGTGGATGGGAATGTGTCTGTTGGTAGGTGTTGATGATGATTGTAAGCCCGTGTAGATATGAACGTCAACCTTCTTTTTATCGAGCGATTTTGACATTCACATCCGTACTAGTTTAACTTGTTTCAATCAACAGATCACCATCACATTTGAAACAGATTCATTTTGATTGACGATTGATATTTTCATTGAAATGGGTGTGGATGTAGGTCTTCTCTTCATTAAGTCATACAAACTCAGATGCTCACCAGCATCCATACGCTCTACTCATTTTCCTATATAGTACGGTTTTTCATTCCTTCCTTATTCGATGTGTTTTATGAAATGAACATGTAGGTTAGGCTTTGACTTGTTCACATCAGTCTCTAGTGTTTCTTCAGTATTGAGAGAAGAATAAATAATTTCTTTGTCGCATATTCAAATACGAAGTACCTTACTATGAGTTGTGTATCTATGTCCCACTGCTAAATTGACAATATCATCGGCAATAACACCCTTACGAAAACGAAAACTGCAGAGACTGTTGAGTCTTTTTTTTTTACAAAACTATCAAATTGTTTGCTGATCGGTCAATTCACTATATACGAATGGCACTTGAGATCAAAGTGCGAATTTTGTATGACCGGACCATAACCAGACACTATTGTCATGTTCAAATAGTCGTGTGACAATAAAGCAAAAGTATATCGTAGCAGAATTCTAGTGATGAGGGCTTTTTTTGGATAAAAGTGTCTTTGAGTACTACTTTAAAAGAAGATGAAATAACATTTACTGAATATGGTGCATTATGAAGACTGGAAAGTAAAAGGTATTGATCGAAAGAACAGAAAAATTATGAAAAACAAAAAATAGGCATTGATATGGTAATTATGAAAGTTAGTTTTGCAGATACGTATATACTAACGGCTCCAAAACAAAAAATGATGATAAAGGATCTGGCCAAGCTTGTTCATTTTGAAATGAAAGATTAAAATAAAGTCTACACGTTAAAATGAAAGACTAACACACGTTTGATGTCAAGGTTTCATTACAAATACTATATATTTTGTTGATTGTAGTTGATTAGTTGAACCCAAGAGTCGATTGCATGAAGCACTTCTAATGGAACTTCATTTTCAGCAAATCACGGCTCTCTGTCGACATCTTATAAGAACATGTAGAAAAAAAACGATGCAAGTTAGTAAAAGAAAACAAAGCTATTAATAATGTACAAGCTTTGTAGTAGAAATCGATGAGAAATTTGTTGCTTTTACTGTAGTAATGGTCGATATTTAATAAGTCATTGAAGTTGTGTGAATACTGGTTGTTTTGTCCGACGAAAGCATTGGCAATTCGAACCATCTGTATATATCATAACTTTCCTGCATTAATATATATAGATTGCTCGATACATCAGGTCCAGTGCATCCATTCTGATTGCATGCGTAAGTGATGGCTGAGTGAGGTCCATTCAGGTTTGGTCTCATTGTAAAGATCAGTCGTACTTGGAGGTCTTTGAATTCCGAGTTCCATATACCACAGGAGAAACGTGCTCCGTAATTGCTTATCCATTCTGCATAACATACCTCATCTAAGCACGGATATGTTCTTTGGTTATCACTATCATCAAAGCATTGTAATTGACCCTCCATTCTACTACGATGTCGGTCTTTCCAGCTGTCCCTATTTTTTTTCTTCGTTTATAAATGGTTTGTGAACATTAACATGTCGATACAGAAGTATGTCGAAGTGACACTGTAAATATGTGAGAGACATCGACGAATTGAATAGCCAATCGAGTCGATCAAGAAGAATAGACGTGTTAAAGAAATATTCGGTGCACAAATCTATCGTGCACATCAGTTCAAACCGCGATTTAGCATGGCCATTGCATGGCACTGTTGTTCTTACTCGAACTTGATTTTTCTAGTGGTCAAAGAGCGTAGTATTTTCGATGCCAAAATGTAGAGATGCACTGTTTACTGACTAATCAATGTCGATTATTAAGTGACACGATTGACCTTTGTTTGCCCGATTCTTTTTCATAGCAAAGAAACTTTTCTGCAACTGAATCTGTGGAGTTAAAGAGTGAAAGAAAACTCTCACTCCTTCGATTCCACTATCAGTGCACTGTGGTAGGACAGAAAGCAGATTGATGCCCGTAAGAAGTAGTAGAAAAAGTAAGATACAAAATAGTAACTTTATCATCTAGAGAGAATGGAGGAAAAATCAATGAAACTTACAAGTATCTGAACAGTAAAGGTGGATGATAGATTGAATCAAACACAGTCAAAATGAGCTACTGAATTTGAATACATATTTTTGAGACTACACAATTTAGGAGGAACCCACATTAATAAAATATCATGTTGAACCTTTAATAGATGAATATGACGTTTTTCTCATAATGCACATGCTCACAGGCCCAATAGAAAATCGACAAACATTTTAATAAATCAAGAAAGGGCTACATTGTGAATATTGATGAAGGATCAGTGTTCATCGGCATCATTTCGAAGCTTTGCGAGGCAGCTTCTTAATGCTTTGCATCTTGAGCCATGATAGAATGACGTATAAGAAAATAATTGCTTCTTGCTATGCGTGTCGATAAATCAAAATTAAGAAAGACGTATAACTTTTGTGATGGTGCATAACACACCTCGCTTTCATCTTTGAGCAAAAATCTCTTCTATTTCTTCATTTTTTTTCATAATGTCATATATTGAATCAAGTATATTATTAATTAGAAATACAAAATATGTAGTTCCCATAAAGTACTCATTTTGCACTTCTAATCGATAATATGTTTAATGCAATACAAAGCAACTTCAAAAACAGAGAGAAGCTAAAAGACTTTTGCATAGAAGTGTTGGACTATACAGATACATTCGTAGACACAGTATTGATGAATCGTTCTAGCAGTTAATGCACTATAGAAACACTTGACATTGGAAGGTAGTATACTCGTTGCTAATAAATAAGCAACATTTAGTCTGTTTCACTAGTCAGTCAGAGAAGCAACCCCGTCAATAGTGTGTTTTAACGTAATTCTTACCTTTTTGTTTTTAGGTAAAAATTATCAATTGATAGTTTTTCGAGATAGTGTTAGAAGTTCAACACAATTTTTGAAATCGATTTACATCTGTTAAATGCAACTTGATGAGTAGTTGTAACTGATTTTTCATATCGAAATGCATCTGAGAGCGTATAATATATTCATATTTGTCGCATATCATCGGGATAAAAAAAACTCAAAGAATTGGTGGAACCAATCAGCTGGCATATGTACTGTTTGGAATTGGCTAATATTGGTCGAGTGGCTCCACCAACTACTCAGAAGAAGACAGATGATTTAAAATGATTCATGATTATTTGCATTTCATGTCTTCAAATGACTACTAATGTTAGGCTTTCTGGTCGCGAAGCTAAGTCTGTTATACAAGCAATGATATATTACTTATCCTCTGCGGTAAAAAAAGGGAAAACCGTGATTAAATTCAACTCTATAGGTGATGTGCATGGCATGGGCATTTCACGTATGCATTGTAACAAACTTCCATTCCAATCTGAAAGGTTAATTAAAATTTTTATAAAGTAACCTATGTAACGATGTTTTCTTGATTTTCATATGACACATGCATGTGTCATGCACATCAGATTCCCATAAAAAACATTGCAGTAAAAATCCAGAGTATTTTTGTTTATGAGTACATTTATGCAATTTTCGACGGTAAATGCCATTCTTTGGTCTAGATTTTGATTATAATCGATTATTTTGACTTTAACCAGACTTCAATTGAAAACTGGTTATAATCTTAATAATTGATCTGAATGTTTATCATTTCAATCAAATTCGTTAGCTAATAATCGATTATAAGCAATTAACTAGTATTAAACGTATTTTCATGCAAAATTTATCTTAATTTTCTTAACCCGATTAGATATGTAATTGCATTCAACCGGATTCAACGGATGTCAATCAATTGTAAGCCATTATTGGACTTTTCATCCGATGGCCACGTATAATCGATAATAATTCGTTAGTGTTTTTCAAAATCTGATGGATCTTTCTATCAATCGATTAAAATCACTGTTAACATTTGAAATCAAAATAAGTTATGAAAAAAAGAATGTATTGATTTTATTCAGATTTATTTCAATCAATATGCCTGGTTATGTATAATCAAATTGACTGTCAATAGGTTTCTATCAATTTTTAAATAGAACTGTGATATCGCCGTGTGTGCAATGAATATGAAATTTTTAATTATCAATAGAAAGTTAATGTTGGAGTAAAAGAAAAGACAAACGTCCATATACACACGTCCAACGGCATCCTCAGCTAGTTTGAGAGAGAAAGACAAGAAAAAAGATTGGTACCAGGTACGACTACTACATATAACTAGATTGAGGTTAGTGTTCTTCAATGAAAGTTGGTTTATTTACTAAAATGGACCAAGATAAGATAACAAAATATAAAAGCAGTGAATAGAAACATGCAAATGTAGCATCATCGTTGAATTTTAGAGACGAATTTTAGCGATAATGTGCTTTTCTATATTTTGTATTTTACCAGCCTCAGAAAAAGCATTGCCTGCTAAGTTTACACTAAAAAGTGTTTTGTTTTGTATAAGAAGATCAGCAATAGCTTCGATACTCTTATCTGTGATTTTGTTTTTCCCAAGACTAATATGTCTTAATGTGGAATTAGACTTTAACCCAACAGCGAGTGATGCCATCCCAGAATCAGTGATTTCATTGTTTGATAAATATAGAGACCATAAAGTGGTGTTCTGTTGCAGCATTGCAGCTAGTTCAGTGGCGCCTATGTCTGAAATTCTATTATTGTCTAGATAAAAATTGATTAAAGTCGTGTTGTTCTTCAGTGCGTGAGCCAGATGACTCGCACCAACATTGCCAATATCATTCTCTGCCAAACTAAGGGTTTTCCAATGGGTATTTCTTGTCAATTCGTCAGCAATCAGACGCATGTCATGATCAGTTAAGTGTCTCTCGCGGAATTCAGCGAAATCGAGTTTAGCTTTTTGACGAATGCGCTCTTCTAATTTTTGGTTTTCATAAGGTTTGTTATCGGCTGGAGAGATGTGTTTCAAACTACTTGTTAATGACTGTACCGGTTTAGAAGACTTAGTCGCCAGTTGAGGTGTCGATGAATGTGACGCTTTCTCCCCAGTCTGAATAATGTTTGTAGCAACTGGTCCTGTTGAAGGTGAATCGTTGGGAAACGGTGGTTGCAGAAGAACATATCGAGGTTTTGTCTCTCTGATATGGATTATATGAAGGTCAGGCGCTGGATTGATTTTACCCAACACTTGAAATTGAGTGGCTGGTAAAAGAAGAATCTCACTTTCATCTTTAAAATAGGAATGCTGATGAATTTCTTTGCCCGCTTCACATTCGATATTGAATAGTGTTCTTACACCTGTTTTACCAAGAAATTTTTCAGATTCGAGTACATTCAAAGATTCTGTACAAGAGCTAAACAAGATACTTTCTATTGACTTCTTTTGAACAAACATGAGAAGAAAAACTACCTGAATCCCCACCATACGAATGCCTTTCCGACAGAATATTGTTCGCTGAGATCAGCTTTCACTCCACGCCATACAGTTTTTTTCACAGATGGAAGTTTCCATAGAGCCGATAGAAATAATTTAAGATAAAAAAAATAAGGCACGAGACGATCACGATCTTCAGCGCGAAGAGCTGCATTAAGAAGTGCATAAAGTGAATTATCAGCCGGTTTCCATTCCATCGTATAAAGATGAATCGCTGCTGATTCTTCTTGAGTGAGATCATTCGATGGTTTTTCTGCAGTTCTCTCTTTGGCAATCCATGCATTGCGCGCAATATTTGATATCATAGTTTCCAATGATTCTACGCTTATCTCAAGTGGCAAGATTGGATTACTTTCATAGCCTTCAATGCTACATCAGAGAAAAAATGAAAAGAAAATCATTTCGAAAATAAAGTGTCTTACGGTGACAGCATAGTTATCGGCTCATTTTTAATATCGGACACTCTCTGATTTACTGCCGCATGGCCGCCGGATGACGCTTTTGGATAATTAGCAGATGCCATATTTTTTGTCTTCGTGATTCTTATTGCGACAACTTGCCTCACCGGCCGGTTTTTATTTTAATAATGCGACAACTATTTTTCTTTCTTCCATGTGACACAAAAACATGCATACTTATTGCTATTGCAGGTGTAAAATGAAACAGAACAACATTCATTTTATCGACAGAGCGTTTCTTTGTCGATAGTTGTTTAATGCGCATTCTGCACAACCTCTATGCATCTTGGAAGAACGGGCGTGTATTGCTGATAATAATTTAAAAATTCGAACAGAACGACTATGTTACGGGTGTGAATGCGGATAAAGAAAAAACTCACAGCGACAACAATACCAATCTCCGCCCACCTATGCTAAAATTCAAGAAAAAGTAGTATATGTGCTGACAAATAGATTTTTACTCATATATTTGATAGATTTTCTGTTTTACTTGATATTTCAGTTATGACAAACCTGATGAGTTCAAATAATATCAAGCCGAATCTTCTATTCACTATTCTTCTTTTTGAATAACATTCGAATTCTGCTATAAATGTTTGATGAGCACGATATATTGGAAATCATAACTGAATTTGAAACAATGACAAAGATCTCAGAAACTGAAAATTTTGTGTTGATTCAAATTTTTCAATAATTCAATTTCTGCTACAAAATTTAGAGCTCGGCACAAAATGAGAACGGTTCGTATAAATGCTGACGTTGTGCTGTACTTTTTTGTCAAGTGTGAAGAAACTCACCGCCGATGGTAGTCAACAGAGTTCGCCACTTGTCGCGAATTCACTGCGTAGGTTTACAATGTCTTTATAATAAAAACGTATACTGTATGAGAGAAAGGAATTAGTTGTCAGCCAACGCAATTGCCAAACTAAAATATTGAAAAACTACTTGAATTTTATGTAGATACAGAAGCAGCAATCCTTGTTTGTGCTATGGTTTTTGAAATGAATGAAACTTTTCAAAACAGCATTAAAATGCTGTTAGCCCGATTCCTGCAGGATTAACATGTGAAACACAATTGAGCTGCCGGTCATGTAAAAGTGAGGATTAATCCCAATATGTTTCGGCTTATGAATTTCTGCCTACACTTAATACGTGTCGATGATGAAAGATATTAATCGCAACATATTGCAGTGAGTGTGAAAGAAAGACAAAGGACAACCACTATACTAATCCTGTAGTGAACTTTGATCTCGCGGTTATGTCTGTTACGGTCTGTAGTGAGACCCGGGAGGAGGGGATCCAAATTACTAACCCCTGTATACTTCAACACTCCGTTTAGATCATGTTTCAGAAAATATATAGTTGATAGTGCAAGAATATCAAGTAACATATATATGAAGCAAAATGTTTTACAAATTCATGCAAAAATAAATGAATTAAACCAAAAATATTTGAATGTCGAAGATTTCGAATACACTTTAAGTTTTGAAAATGAATTAATGAAATGTTTATATTAAATTATTGTTGACAAAACATTTACACGTGTTGAAAATATCCATGTTTCGTATCCGAAATCTTTCCAACATTATATATTTAGTGTGCAACAAAAGTTTCGCCCGCATCGAAATGAAGTTTTTATATTTTTTGACGGATGAGATAATACTTTTCAAGGTTTCAACACTTTGACATAGGAATAACTGTAATTTTATGAAATGTCTCATTGATACAAAAATGGTTTGAAATTGAACGTAACTTTTTTAAACTGATTTCAAATTCCTATTGACTTTTACTAATTGCCACTATCTTCAGTTTCTTTGCAATACCATAATTAATTTTTAAATTAATAAACATGATTTGTGTAATATATGTAAATATGAATGAAGGAGCTACCAACGAGATTTAATCTAAACATTAAAATTTAAAACGAATCAACTTTTTATAACATTTGGCTATTCAAAGGAAGAGTAGGTGATATACAAAAAACGTAAGTGTACATGGCAGTACGTTCTTAATTATAATTTCAAGATAAGATGTTAAAAATACGAACTATTTTATCATTCTTTAATCAGTGACAAACATTCCATGAGACGAAGCAAACTTTGAGTTCTTCCTGAGCTAAGTAAAAAAAAAAGACCAATATCCTTAACACTTGATCATTTGTCTGCAAGTGAACAAACTCGATAATTATGATTGTAGAATCAAAATCTAAACATATATGTTCATGCTAAAACACCTGCCACTGCGTAACTAATTTATATTTTCGCGATAAAGATGGATTTAAAAATGCATTACTAGAATACTCCATCTCGACCGAGGCAAGTCGTTATTTTATAACGATCTTTTACACTAGGATGTCAATAAGAAAAAGGAGCAGACAGCCGCTTCTCCCTTTCAAATGTTGCCTTTTTTTTTCTTGTTACGGAAGTTAAACTGTTTTACCCTTTTATTTTCTCTACCTTCGTGTTATGTTATCGAAAACATCAATATACATGATAAACTAAACACTAACTCCGAAAAGAAAACAACATTTTGAAACAGAACGAAAAAAACGAACATGCTGTACCTTTCAAAAGGATGCAAGGAAAATAAAAGCGGCATTGTTATCGTGCGCATATAAAGATTGCTTATTTGGTTGCTTTTTTCCTTGCTAGACGACACAAAAATATATTTACTGATACCCATTAAAAAAAGGCGAGTGAGTATTTTTGAATAACTGTCCATAGAATCAAGATATAACGCTGCGCTTTTCACCATTGTAAAGAGCAGATGATGTCGCATCGAATAGTATTTTATAGATTCTCCTATGATGTTTTATGAAGTTTGTTTTAGTGAAACCTATAATAATGTTTCAGAAAAATAGTTCATTTTAATACTAGAAAAAAAATGGAATTTCCTTACAGTAGTTGCTTGCAGAACTGGCAGAGAATTTTGACTATAATACCTATAACTCTTGAACAACTAAATCTAAAAATCTGAGGCTTGCGCAGTTTTGTAGGACTTCCATTGGCGATTTGAATACATACCTAATCATTAAAAAGTCACTAATAATTACCCCTTCCCCCGCAAGAGAGATAGATTTTCAAAAGGGTTGATCGAAAACCTTAAATAACGCAGATCGGAAAATCTTGTAATATAGTTACGATTCGATACGTCCTCATCTCCTCTTTCTAAAGATGAAAACTTGAGCTCTCCATCTTGTTTTTATCAAAAGTTATTCAGAAAATTTCTACCCCCGTTCCCTTTCTTTTGAAATGGACATTAGACACTTTACGTTATAGTGTGAATGTTGTGTAGCCCCATTGGTTTTTGTGCACTGATAACAATACTCATTTTCAAAAAGAATTTCAGACCACATCAAGACATTTTAAATTTCTCGAATAGAAACTGCATCATCAAGTTTATTACATTACGTTTCGCGATGAGCACGACGCCAACAAACGTTCGTAATTATTTCAAATTAGATCTCTTGATAGCACGTTCGCATTTTATACTTCGTCAATTGTTTAAAAACCGTTATTCTCTATTCAACGGCGGTAAAGTATGGGATGACTCGTCGACAAGTGGAAGCAATTATTTAGCTAATGTTATCGCGAAAAATAAACAGTTTAATTTAACAACCGTGCAGAAAACATCCGTTTCTAATGGTGATTCAAAAGAATGGGATTTAACGACGCTGACTGCTCTTCTGCTAAATAGTGATCGCCCAAAAGCACTAAATAAAACTCAAATACAACAGCTCGACAATGAAGACATGCTTTTAAAAGAATTAAGAGATATTCGAAATAAGTTAGCTCATCACCCGTCAAAATCTATTGACGATACTGAGTTTAATCAGCTTTGGACTGAGCTAGCGGCAATTCTAATTGCATTTGGTGCTGTCGACAATGAACTAGATAAACTAAAAGATGACAGCGTATTTGAATCGTCTAGTCAATCGATAAATGAAGAAAATGTGAAGGAGGCAGCACGTTTAAATTCACTGGGTACACAAGCTCACAAAGATCGAAAATTTTCGGACGCTATAATATTATTTACAAAAGCAACTATCTTACCGGGTGTTTCAGATCACGACCGTGCTGTTTTCTATTCGAATATGTCTTCTAGCCGTCTAGCACTGTATGATCAGCAGCGAGATACTTCAGATAAAGATGAAATTGATGATCCAAAAGACCAACGATATCGTGCACTGAGAGATGCTAAACAAGCTCGAATTCTTTGGCCAACATGGTGGAAAGGACATTTCCGTGTTGGTAAAATATATGCTACCTTAAATGACCATGACAAAGCTATTAATTCACTTGAACGAGCATTAGCTCTTGCTCCTACAAACGATGATATAAGGAAAGCATTGGACGAAAGTCGACAAACATACAGTCGACAATCACGATATGAACACCTAGACCCAAGAATAAGACCAAGAACAATACCTGAACAATTAAATGAACTTCAGGAAAAATTAGGTATTGACCCACAAAACGTACGTATCGCTCATAGTTTACTAGACGAACTAGATCCAGTTGCAGCTGACGTGGTCAAAGGACATAAATATGAACACGGAGATACTGATGTTAAACAAGACTATGAGCAAGCGGCTAAATATTTTGCTAAAGCAGCATGTCAGGGCAACGCTGAAGGGATGTATAATTTAGCTCGATTGACCGATCGTGGTTTAGGTGTAAAGAAAGATCATAATATGGCTCTTCAACTGCTTGAACAAGCCGCTGCACAACCACCACAAAATCCAAAATTTAAAGGTGTTCGGAATCTCGGCGTAGCTGAAGCTGAACATGCTCTAGGGCTTAGGTATGCTGAAGGTGTTGCTGTCCACAAGAATCTACCAACCGCTGCTTATTGGTATAAACGTGCTATAGAGAATGGTAGCGCTGAATCAGCCAACAATTTGGCTTTAATGTATGAAAATGGAACTGGTGTCGATAAAAATCTTGATAAGGCTGAACAATTATTTCAGCTGTCAGCTAGAGGGGGTGATCCAAACGCTATGCTGAGTTTAGCTGAGCACTTACTTGATAAACATGACTTTGAAATGGCCAAAATTTGGTATGATCGAGCTTGCGAATCTGGTAATATTCTTGCTCAGATGAGCCGATCTAATTTCGAAAAAGTGTTCCAAGACAAGAAGCAGTTAGTAGATCGCTGCCCGTCTAATGTTTTACCAGCGATTGATACGATGAAAAACGTCTTCAACTCGCTAAAAATAACAAAGACCATCTATACACTATCTGATCAACCATATATCTATGATTATAACATGTTAAACGAATATGCTAATGGTGGTTCAATAACGGCTAAAATATTATGTAATGCTATAGAGCATTTTGCGCAAGCATTGAACATACTAATACAATCTGAAACCTTAACTGAAAAAGAAGAAGACTTATTGATACATGAACTTGCAGAATGTTATCGTATTGAACATATTGTCGCTCAATTTCCTGGCATAAAGATGCGTCAAAAAATTGAGAAAATCGTTGACCGAGCACTTCACCGTTGCAGCGAAAAAATAGAGACTACCACTTCGCGGCGTGACGAAGATGCTCGAATATGTTATGCTGTATTACATATGGATTCCCATGAATTAATTGATCAGTTCCTTAGTTCATGTAAACAAAAGTATCCAAAGTCAATCTATTTTTTTGACTTGAGTGCAGCAGTAAATGGCTGGTTAAATCGATATGACGCTGCTCTGTATAATGCTAATGCCGGTCTAGAAATAGATCCAAATTACAGCGAGTTATTGTATTATAAAGCTGTTGCTTTGCGTCTGCTGAATCAAGATATTAATGAAGCAATCGAAGCGTATCAAGCATTTTTTGACAATAGCTCCGAAGGATCATCGTAAAGTACCTGAATCGTATTATGCGATGGCCAGTTGTTATCTTGTACGTCACAATAATGATTACGTAGTAGATGCTGTCAAAAGAATATATGAGCAAGGTGAAGAGGCAGAAAAAGTACAATTACCATGTTTTCTACCTTATAAATCCAACAGTAAAACGCTGCTCAAATCTTTGTTTGATCCTCAATCTCTATCTAATCCAGAAGTAGCAGCCCCTTCTCTTGACCGCAAATCACATCTTACTGATCCACATTGAATCGAAGTTATTAAGCAACATCGTGAATGGGAGGCTAGATCATTAAGTGAGAAAAACAATCCAAAACATAGCCTTATATCGTACACTCATAAACCTCGAGTTAAACAGCAAACGGCCAAATCATTAATTGGCTTAAAATCAATTTCATTGAGAGAAATGGACCCAACAAAAGATCGTGTTTATCATGGATATGTTCTATCTGTAACAATTATCGAAGAAGCGTACTCATGGACCCCATCCATTCATCTTGTAATTGAAGATGAACACTTCGATTGTGAACGAATGTTCATTTATGGATTTCCTGAAGGGCAAGGTAAATACTTAACCAGCAAAGTCTTCGCAATTGGTAGTAAAATGAACATTATAAATCCATACTTACGATTAGGTGCAAATGACATGAAATCCTTAATTCGTATTGACGACTTTTCATCAATTATAATGCAAAGTGAAACCGAACGAGTTTTGAATATGTGCCGATACTGTGGACAACCAAATGCATTACATGTTTGTAGCAAATGTAAGCAAGCACGTTATTGTACAAAAGAATGTCAAACAATGGATTGGAAATTATATAACCATAAACTGATATGTAAGAAACAATGAAAATGATATATAAATTAATAGCATTTGTACTACTACTTTGAAATTTTTTTTTATTATAACTGTCTAATTGGACGTAATTTCATTTAAAAAGATACATTATATAATAAACAAAAACTACGTAGTTTTATACTTTAAGTTTGTGGATTCAAGTCATGTTTGAGGAACAACTGTGGTATTGTGTACTTGCATGAAATTATAAACTTCTTGTCTCTGTGATAAATAGAGAAAGTTACTAATTCAATAACTGAAAGTAAAATTATATAGGACGACTTTCTATTCAATCAAAGTCATTTTTATTGGATACGGACTTGAGAATATAGGATTATATATCCGACATCAAATTATCTCTGTCTAGGCAAACTTACCATTGTGAGATGATTTCTGATACGATCTTATTTTAAGCATTTTATCTCCTTTTTCCGATAGTGATAAAAAAGAGGATACAATTCGAAAACCGATAGAGTTTGCCATGTAGTATTATAACAAAATTAGTGCATTTGAGAACAAGACTAGCACGAAAATACTTTATCGAGAGAATGTGTTATTATGTGATGTGAACTCATTTATTCAAATGGCATCTATTCATTTCTACTACAGGAATTAATTGACTGATTCACATTAGATGGAAAGTATCATTACCATAAATTTACTGATCCTGTAGACCGAAGATATAATTTTAAAATTGTTAGTTTAATTCACCAGTAAATTAGCATCTGTTTTAATTATTCAATTATATATTTTCACATGTTGGGCGAAGCTATAATGCAAAAAAAGCAAATACATGCGCTGTACTTAGGTAGCAGCATCTCAAAGAGCTTTCTAGGAAAATAGATGAATATTTAAACTTTATATATTGTCGCGAATAATCGATCGTTTTTTTTTATTATTACATTCGTTATAAAAACAAGCTTCACTTAAAAAACACATCAATTAAATCGACGGTGAATAATGTACAAGAAATTCAGATGCAAAGTTTTGTTCAATTGGTGACAAAAATGTATGATTGTGCTTTTTGGAACTAGAATGGAAGATGACATTCGAAAACCATTATTAGATGAATTGGTTCAGGTGTAATCATTTCTTAAAAAGATGTTCATGAGCATCGAGCACTTGGTCTAATTGGATTATCATTGTACAAATGTAGTTTGAAAGTCGTATCAAGTGTTCACATAATAATACTAAAATTGACAGGGAAAAAAAGATGATTTTTCAGAATAACTTTATACAAATATGGCTTGTCATATTTCTTAATTCACTGAAATATTGTCCCTCAATTTTGTGTTTAGATCAAAAGATTCGTTGTAAATAATAGAAACGTTTTTGACCGATTTTTAATTTCTATATACATTCAAAAAGTCTTAATAATTACCACTTTGCAACTCTATTTTCATATATTGCTCTATCGTAAATTAAAAGTAATTTTTAATAATCACTGAACGAGAAATTTATTTTTCTCGATAAAAATATGCAAAAAAGTATTTCTTTCGGTTTTTCTAACCTTTCAGTCCTAATTAGTGTCGAGTTGTATCAAAAGGAAAGGATCTTATTACGATAGAAAATCTTAAACATACACCATTGATCAATACATTCATGTAATAAAAAAATGATTTACTGCCCACCATTTTGGTGGAATTTTCCCACAGAAAAATGATGACCGAAATAAAAAAGAATGAAGTTTGTCGAGATGAAATGGACACATTCAGGCATGTTTTATAAAATCATTGATGATTTTAAAAATTTTCGTTGGTATAAATGATGAATTTTACATCAAAATTGTGCCCTTAAATTTATTTAAAATACATTATAATCATAACATGAAAAACATGAAAAAGTAACTGTAGTTTTATTAGCACCTGAGCCTGCTGAAGACACAGGTGTAATAATTTGACCTGGAGCTTTCTCAAAGTCCAGATTTATTGTCCTTCCAGAATTTTCATAGTGCACTTTTGAAAAGCTTATTTTTACTCTATAATCATCGTAGATTGACATATATTTACAGTATGAATCTTAGTGTACATGTGGACATGAGTCTTCTCTTTTTTCAGATACAAATCTACACCTGCAAATCATTCACACACTCTCTAAATAGACATTCGGCAGAGAAAGCAAATAGAAAAGATTCCCTTTATATCACATCGCACATTATACGAAAGTTGGCCGTGTGATAATGATAAATAAGAATAGAAAACACATGTTCTACTAAGCCATAGTCAATGCCTCTCTGCGGCAAATGCTGTGTGTGGGTGGGTTGGGATGAAGGGAGGACACCCTGCCACAGAGACGCGCATGGACACATCCATGTCTTCACCAAACGCCAACAGAATTGGATATAATTTCACCCAACAGACATGCCATTTCGTTTGCTTCATATTGAGTCGTGAGAATGTATTCACCTGACTCGTGCCAATAACAGTAGACCTGAACGGCATCGATGTGGTGCATGCGTGTCTCTGTGACTGGCTGCCTTTCCTTCATCTACACACCAGCATGACGTTAGCAGGCAAACTATAGTTCACTTACCCACTAACATAGTAAATGTTTTCAGAATATAAACAACTTCACTTAATTTCTGGAAGTGTCTAATGACTTGTTTATCAATCTGTTGCCAACTCGTCTTATCTGATTGTGACTGCGATCGACTCAGTCTTTTCAAAGTCCATGAAAAAGTATCTGTCTTGAATTACCATCAGATTGTGAATGCTGTATATTTTCGAGTGATCTCAAACTTCCTATGTACAAAAACCTTAAGTATATTTTTAGAAAGTATTCTCATACGCATGTTCGTCCATCTAGCTCAGATATTTTATCTTTTCTTAACGAATTGATGTGCCATTTTTCATTTGTAGTGCTTGTGCATAGTGATGATCAGTAGTACATGAGCGTTTTCAAATGTGTCACAGAACAATATGGAAAAGGAAAAATAGAATTGGATGTGATCGATAAATCTTCTAGTCAACATTTATCACATATTCTCACTTGATTTTGAAAGAAAAAACGTGGATATAACTACCATGATTAATTAAAAAGTTTATCTTTGAAAAATCAATTGAAACATAAAAGACGATCTTTTTTCAATGGTAGGTTGGACTATTATCATAGTCGTATTCTGTATAGTCTCGAGAAGAATAATCATCTCATATGTCACTTAAAACGAAAGGAAAAGAATTTAAAAATCTATTTTTCTAACACACGCCTCTGTGAATCTACACAATTTTCTGTAGACTTTGACGCTGACGATCAGTGAGAGTACGATAACGACAATAATTTATCAGCAATGTACGAGCAAATGCAAAGTTCTGGGCTTAAGAATGCTGTTGTATTTACATGACATTTCGATGAGAAATCTGTTGAATTTATTCCGGTTATCTCTATCGAATTATTCAATGGTTTTGAGAATCAAGAACCAACGATACAAGGAGAGATATACAGAAGAAACTTTCAGTTAATGTTTAAAGAACTCTATGTGTTTTTTCCAGAGTTCAAAAAAAGGTGAAAACATCTATCAACTATAAGAGACAGATTAAAGGTACCCGCACCAATAAATACTACGACGACAAATTCATTCAAGAGACGAAAAGAAATAAACTATAAGCCACCACAGAAGATAAAAGTGAAGAATGATTCGATAAGTAAATCACAATACCGTCCACAATGCAATAAAAAATTTCGATTCACTGATGATGTTAAACAGCATTACGATATCAAACATACTGAATCCATTTCCAGCTCCACAACTTATCAAACATGCTCTCTCACTGATGAAACAGCAATAGTGTCCGAAAAGAAATGGAACGAAGAATGCGCATAATTTGCTGTCTCTTTCACAAATTATCGTACAATTCTTAACAGACCCAGAAAAAGTTCCCTTGCACTGTTGATCATTTAGAGTATTTTCGAACGGAACATACCGAAATAAAATCTTCCAACAGAACTGCAGCAGAATTTTTTGCTGATCCACACAGTATGCAATGCCCTAGAACAAAATTCCCTACACTAGTTTACATGACATTGGAAGCGGCTCGAAAAGGAACCTCCATTTCATCATGTAAGACAAATTAGTGTCCACATGATGAGTTTAAATTGAAAACAACCATTTACACATTCGAAGAACTTTGGTTGCATACAACTGTATAACACAATAATGCAAAAATTAAACTGGCATGTTGTGATCCAATAACCGTATACATTCTAGAAGAATACAAGAATCATCGTCTACATTGTAATCAGTATCAGAGATCAAAAACAAAAACCAGCTATTTTTTTTCAAAGATAACTCGAACCGAACTCGAACTAGCGAATTTCGTCTTGATTCAGTCTCTAATGAGAACTATATTAGATTCTGTGGGGTGTAACAGAAACACTTTCATTTTTATAATTTTAATAACTAACGTTTAAAAATTCTTAGAAATTATCGGTTTTTATCCGTTTCAGCTAAATATACCATAAAACCTGACGATGAGTGGAAAGTGTTAGAAAACATAGCATAGATTCTAGACTAAAGTCCTAACCTGCTAAACCTTTATGTCTACGAAATATAGCCAGGTATGTTTTTATTTCGTCCGACGTACTAGAATCACTGTCAATTTGTATTGAATATTAATAAATGATATTTATCCGTTTATTAGTGGAATTATTAAGTTAGAAAGCAATAAAATATTTTTTTAGGGATATGTCAGAATGAACTTGAGGGTATCAGTATTCTCCGTACACATTTACGCCCCACATTCACACCAACAAGTTTCTTTTATTCAGCTTTAATTTCTTCTCGCACATCAATATTATTACCCTGATGTACATATCCCTGCACTTTTATTTCTAAGCATTAATCTATACTTATATACGTAATCCCCTTAACATTGCTGCTTTTGTTTATTTGTTATATCACAGAAACATTTCGAACTATCTACATCAACAGTCAACGTATCGACCCAACTACAATAAAAAAAAATGCAAACGGTAGACACATATCCAGAGCTAGAGATATTTCTTAATGAAACCGAATTTTCTCGATACTGGCGAGTATACGTTGGACTTGATTGAAACCCTGTTGGCACTGTGCAATGCGATACTGAAGAGATATCAGGAATTATCCGTCACATTGTGCATTATCAATAAGCCGCCACTGTCCATGTTTAAGAACGATGAAAGAAAAAAACCAACATCGGCGAAAGAAATTTGCAAAGAATTACTTGTTTTCGACGAGAAAGACACAGAAAGGAACGAAAAAATAACGTCTTGTTGTTGAGTTATGATACAGCAAGGCATTCGTTTACCTTTTCTTTCTCTTTCGTGCAACATTAGCGCACGATCAGCATTGTAGTTTTTCAATTGCTCCTGACAAAAAGAAGACGACGAACGTAGCAACAAGAAAAACAACAAGTCAGGTGTGTGTTAATTCATTTGTTTTTTTCCTATTTTAAAATGCGTTTTGCCTTCTAGATTTTATCTCTATTGACAAAAACATGTCAGGCAATCCTCAGTGGTTCTGGAATGCTGCATCGAATCCATTTTCGAATACGAATCCACCAAATTGGACAGCTTATTCAGCTGCCGACAATGCCAAGATTGAGGACGCTTTTCAAAAAGGTGATACAAGCGTTCAGCTAGGAAATTATGTCATTCATATTAAGGATAAAATGCAAGTGAACCAAAGCGACTTTAGTCGACAGCGACAAATCAAACGCGGAGAATGACATTGGTAATAAACTTGTACGAATGAAATAAATTTCTATTCCTCGCATTAATATTTTCCTTTACGTTAGTCGCGCTGATTTTATCGATCTCATCAAAGGAAGCATGTTCGTTTCCAATAGTTGATTGACATGATACAGACAACGACGTCTTTGAGTGAAGACGATTCGAAACTATACAGCTAATTTTGCGAAAATTTCCTATTTCTCCTCCTGGCAGAGTTTCTTTTTGTTCATGAGAAAGATATATCACATGATCATATCGGAACGTTTCAGCACTTTTTCAAGTGTATTAATCTTCAAATCAAAATCATTGCATGAAACACAGTTCAGATGAGTAATCACTTGTGTAGTGACGTAATCATGGGAGCGTGGCTGGTAAGACGCCAGCCAGCTTAGCTCATCCTTGGTTACTCTACTAAACGTGTGATACCAAGTGATGATTGAATAGATTGAGACGAGCAAAGAGACTTGACGCGCCAAGAATGATCGTTAGAAACGTCAGTCCATCGAAAATACAATGTATAGCTAAATTCAAATAGAAAAAGTGACGCGCGGCATTTCTACTCTCGCCGGTAATCTGGTTGGTGCGTCAGTTTTGCCACAATAGAACATACAGGAAAAGTAAGGATAGACAAAGAAACATTAGGATGTTGAGTTTCATTTCGTATTGATGAGTCTTAAACTAGAGGGAACAGGTATATATGTACTATGAATGAACATTTGTTGAGCATCCTCGTGTCTATTGAATGCAAGCTTGCCATCTGCTCTTCTCGGCGAGAGAGCCCATTCACAAGTCTGTCTTTTTTGTTTGCCCTTCATACATGTATCGCAATTCATAAGCAGTACATCAGTATACAAATGAAAGCAGAGTGAATTCAAAGCGATTGAAATCGAGAGAAATGCATTGTGTTGTTAATTGTCATCGCGAGACACAGAATGAATGCGACAGCTGATAGCATCAAATTGCTTTCCATTTATCAAGAGTAGCCCTCGTATGGAACGCGGATTTATTTTTCAAAAAAAAAAGTAAACAAGCGCAAATAACGACAGTTCAATCTTTATAGTTAAACTCAATACGTAGAAGATATTTGACCTTGATCTGTTCGGTATTATAGACGATGTATTCATTGTACAACAGTGAACTTTGTGGAATTTTTGCATTAACACCACGACCCATTGGAATGAGGACTCCATCATCCGTATAATAGTGTTCTAAAAAAACTGATAATTCATATATAGCGATAAGAATTTTTTTCGTTTACCTTTTGGATCGGGAACCGTTTGTCCGCAACCTTTGACAGATTGTGTAGCAGTCGGCAATTTATCTGCCGAAAGATCTGTGCTTTTATAACATTCGTACATTTTACCGAGAGCAACTTCACATAAAAGCATTAATCCTTCAGGTGTTTCTCTTTTGACGAAACAATAATTTGCTAAACATTAACGGAGAACTATCCATTAGATCAAAGAGAAAAAAAACTTACCACTCTTCGAAGCCATGTCAGCAAAATAGACACCTTTGCCAAACATGTAACCTGTCTAAAATAAATAAAAATTGATTTAGAATTTTTCACTCTTTACAATGAAATTTGAATGGTTGTCTCTGTGCTGATGATGAGAGCATTTAACTTGGACTATTCAAATATGAAAAACAGACGCTTGATTTTTTTTCTCTTGCCCTAATCTTATGAAGAATATTATTACTAAAAACTGTTTTACAATTAAGATCACTAGCAATCATATCAGAGAGCATCCAGCCATAAAAATCTTGTAAGAATAACAAAAGAGGATATTTAACTATTCAAACAATAATGAAATCTTATTGAAAGTGCTTGAATTTTTTTTCTGAAGCTCGTCACACGAGAAATCATAAGATTTGGATTTTTCATTCGGACTAGTCTTCCGACTTTTTCGAAACCTCTAAGATATTATACACCTATTGTTTGTTTCTAATAATAGTTTCAGATGAAAAATCTAATTTTTGAACATTGAAAATCTCTTCGGCTATTAACAGAGAATGTCGTATTGTTTGTTTATCTGACCTTTGGTGCTTCGGGCGGAGCTATACGTAATCCTTGACTGAGAATCCCAGCAAAATTTGTTGTTCTCGAACCATGCCATAATAACTGATGATTTTGAAGTTTTAGCCATTTTTGTAAACGATCATCTTCACCTTCTCGTATTACTTTAAATAATTCTTTTAATTTTAATGTATATGTATTATGTGTCGATGCATGTGTATTGATCATATATTGTTCGATTCGTTTATATTCTTCTGCATTCTTATCGACCGGTTCAATTATAGATTTTAATTTTTTATAATGAGCATCAATCGGATGTTCATCTTTTTCATCTATCGATCCTTTTAACATTGAATATGCTATTTCAATTTCAAGTAAATTATCAATCATTTGTGTTTTTGATTGAATTAAATCGATATTATCAAGAACTTTTGGTTTACTAATACCGAAATTATGTGGAATAAGTGTATAAAATCGATTCGTAGCATCAATAATAGATGTTTTATTTGTTGAGCCACTAGTAATTAATGTTTGTAGTTCAGTGAGAACTTGATAAGCTGTATTTAATTGATTACGTGAAAGTTTGCCTAAAGGCATTTTTGTTAGATCAATTTCGAATGATAGTAATGTTTCTTTCATGGTTTCAACATTAAAAATCAAACAGATTAAATCTTGTACAGATTGTGGAAGACAAGAACGATTTTTTGAATTTGGATCATTCAATATTTTTTGTATTTGATCATTATCGCCATGTTGTCCATAATCGATTTCTAATGGATAATGTTTATTTGGTAATTTTTTAAACGTTTCTCGATTAGCCCATTTATTGCCAGTTTTATCAAAAAATATTCTATGAAATGCATCAATTGCGTCGGATTGATCGTCATATTCATCTATTTTTTTACTACCAAAAGTTGTACCAGTACGACCCTTAAAAGATTAAAGGAAAGAAAAATATATACATTGAATACAATCTATCTAGAAAGCCACTTATCATGCACGAAAAAGAAACCATTTTTTGTCACTATCATCTTCGAGTAATTGAATTTTATAATATGAGTTAGTGCCACGGGTTATATCGACCATACCGAGGACTGCCGCGAAAATACCATCAGTTCCACTATCTTTCAATACATGACATGTTTCTTCGAGTCCTACGATAAATGAAATCATCTACCGAGTTAATTGACTTGGTCTTCAAAGAAGCTCTCGAAAATATTTCAAAGTCTATCGCAACGAATCACAACAAAAATATTTATATTTCAATTTTCTTACGAAACGCTATTCAAATAAAACATAAGCGCAGTTCATTCAATCAGGTTCAGTTTATTGTTTCCTATACGGTTTGATTACTAAAGTGGCTATAGTGATCACGAGGGTAAAACTTTGAACTTCTTTTCTGTGATAATAATTTGAAGCAGAATGATTCAAATTAACAAATCAATCGTCATTGATAACTGTATTTGAATACGTAACTATAATGTATAGACCTGGACATGTTTTATGAAGACAAGCTTGTTTATGCTTTATATACACAGTTAGCTAGATAGAGAATAGCGAATCTATTTTCAAGACTCTAAAGTTTGCTTTTATAAAAACAATTTGAATATTTCAAAAAAAAATGAAGATTGCAATGGGTGTGAAAACATTGAAAAACTTGAATCAACGGGAACTTACCAGAATCAGGATCGACTGCAGCACCATCTTTTAATTTCATAGTCACTTTTTCCGGTATGAATTGTTTTGATCGAGCTACAACAAAGATTCAAAGCCAATGCTCGAAACCATCCGAATAAAGTACTCACCGGCAGACTTAAATGTGGTTGAAGGTTTTAGTCTTGGTTTTTTCTTTTCCTGAGCTTGTTGTTTTCGAATATGTGGTAAAATACCCCAAGTTGATAGTTTCAATTTTTCCATTACAATTGATGGTCGATCATTGAGTACATCATCCAAGAATTGTTCTGGAACAATATAAATTTCGAATGTTTGTGCATCTTGAATTTTTTTACTTCCTTTTTGTACTTCATCTATTCAACAATCATAATATAAAATAATGAATAAAATAAAATATCAAGAGAAATAACCTTGTGTACTAATGATCACATCGACTGTTTTGTCAATAGTCGTAATAATTGTGCCACCTAATTGTTCGATTTGTTTTTGTAAAGTCCTTGTTCTCTTTGATAAACGACCGACTAATGCAATCGAATAGCCACTAAGAGGTAATTTCGGATCATAATCTGGTCTAGAATAACATTGTGAAACGAAAAGTTCTATTAGAAAAAAATATTATTTACTCTTTAGTCTCAACTCTTTTGTTCATCAACTTTGGTTTTTCAATGTTTTGTGTTATGATTCGATCTCGTTTTGTATATTTGTATTTTTGACTACAAAATGAATTAAGAAGACATTAATTGAATCTATACTCGTCTTGAATTAGAAATTATTAAATTTTGCTGTTTCTCGTTGTGTGCAGTGTAACATTGACTTTTTATCAATAAGAAAACTTACAAAATGTCGTAGTTTTCTTTGATTTTATCTGGAATTTCAAATGATCTTCGTTTAGGTAATTGTGTTGAATAAGAACATTTTGTCCATTCGGTAATATTGCCCGTACAACGAAAATTTGTATAACTAAGTATCGAAGTTGAAAGAGAAAAATCTCAGTAAAACGAAAATGACCTACTTGAAAACAAGAAAACCATTACATTCGGGACATGGTTCAAGTGCGCCGAATGCCATACAATCAGTCACGGCATCGATTAACTAAAATGATTGATTAAGATGATTCAAGGAAATCAATCAGATTACATTTGATTCTCCGGAAATCGACTTTTGTGCATTAAATTCAAGTAATTCTTTTAGAACGCCATTCGGAATCTCTTTTCGCAAATTATCTTTGTAAGTCCATAGCAGTTCACATTGTTCCTGGAATAAACAAAAAGATATTCTCAAATATGACTAGAAAGTTAATAACCTTTTTGAGATGTGTCTCTTCTTGTTCATGTAAAGTTTCCGAAGTCGCATCTTCAACTTTTGCTTGTTTTGCTTTTGTCGATTCATTGTTTGTCGCTTCACCTTTACGCTTTCGTTTTGAACTAGTCGATATACCGAATTTCTCTTTGAGTTCTACTTGGTCTTCTTTATTCATATCAACAAAACCAAAAAATCTCGAATAAAAAAGTAATAAGCAAAAATTTATTTCAGAAACGAAATCAATTAAAAATACGAACGATTCAGCAGTGCCAAAGAATCCAAGGTCTTTTTTCATTTGATTAAAACAATCCACATGATACCATTCATCAGTTGGTCCATAACGTCGCGATCTTTTACTTGTGTAATTTTTTCTCGATAAACGTAACGTATCTTTGTCAATCAATGTGCCACAACCATGGCATGTACTTCGATTTGATTTAGCATATTGGACAGAGAATGTGTTGTTCGGATCATTTCCATCTAATCGAAAGATAGATATTCTATCAAATTATCATTTTAACGAAAATAAGAAAATAATCTATTCTTCGAGATCCAATTGAGAGCAAAAACGATTCTTTTTTTTTTATTTCAGTTTTAATGTGATGGATGTCTATTCAATTCGACAATAATAGGGCTAATGTAAAACATGATTGTTAATAAGTGTTTAAGTATGCAGTAAGAAAAGGGTACTGTTCATATGCATGACAGACATATCAAATCCAGAAGTACAAGAAATCTGGTTTTATCCTTATTGCTCCTTTGGCCTTGCTACAGATTATGACCAATATAATAGAGAGACCATCTTTGTGTATAATAAACATAACTCTATTGTGTTTCACATTTTGATTTCGTGGATCTGATTCTAAAAGCCTTTCGAATTGACTGATTCATTTAAAGCTCTGCTCTCTCTGTCAAACAACGTTATTTTTTTTTATAAAACACAGTTATAAATGCATGCCGATGCATATAACGCCAAAAGTTAATCCTTTCTTCTAACCTGTCTACAAGATCATGATAGATATATCGACATGTTAGTTATGATCCGTGTTGGTTTAGACAGTATTTTGAGAGACTGATTTTTTAGTATACAATCTAATGAACTATTTATCGCTGTTTTAGACATCGAGAGTTTTAACCATTTGACCAATTACAAAGCTCAACAATCGATATCTTTCAAGAAAAATGATGTCTAATAACTTAAAATTTTCCAAGATTTGGGGTGAGGCTCTACTCCACTTGCACCAATTTTAAGCATTTATATAAGTGCTTTGGATTGAAGAATTTATTCAAAAACAAAAAGAGCACTATGTGATCTTGAAAAAAAAACAATGAATAGAAAACATTCAGAACTTCGTGCACTTGAATGATTTTTTTCTCAATCCGCTAAGCGTGCCAAGAAAAGGTGATTAAAAAAAACAAAAAATGTCAAAATTGCATCTCTATTTTTCAATATGTCTTCACTCAGTGTATGTACTGGAACAAAATTTTAGTGAGATAGTGGTCAGTTATTAATCAAATAAAAATTATCTCAGGTATGCTATTGAAATCATAAAAAGAAGTGTGTACACTACGGTAAAGAGCTGATCAAACTATCAAGTATTAATGTCTGACATTGTCAAGTTCTTTTTTTTCAAAAAAGCTCAACAAATCTCATATATGAACGTGCATACCCAAATCTGAGTGTTCTTGAAAATACGCCAAAATAAGTCCGCTAAATGTCGAACATAGACTTACTCGATAGTATTATAGAGTTTTCTTGAATAAGATTACGAATTTTATCTTGATCTTCCCAACGTAGATCATCAAAACCTTTGATGATTTTCACATCGATTAATTTCACTTTTTTGAAAAAACAATCCGTATGATACCAAATGGGAACCTAGTGAAGAAATCGTCTGTTGTATTTTTTTGAATATTATTCATGACAGACTTTTCCGTCAAATTTCGATGATTGCACCATAATTGCAAATCGAAAAGTATCTTTATCGATCGTCAATTGACAACTTTTGCATTTTGATCGATCAGATTTTGCATATTCGACTCTGAATGTAGAATCAGCGGCAGGCATGCTTCAATCTCACTTTTTGATAATAAAACTTGAATTAATAGAAGACAAATACTTTATGCTGCTGGCATACTCAATATTATTGTGTTATGATGAAATTACATATGACAGCATGCAAAGCGACCTGATACTTGTTTTTATATCTCACAGACCAATCGTGTGAACATTTTCGAGTTGACAGATATGAATTATTGAACTCATGGCTAACGAAACAAGATAAGAATACTGAAGTTCTCTTCGATTGAATAAGAAATATCTAACAAGAAAGGAATCAATCAAATATTGTTCATATGCGACACCTACCTTTAATGTGACCAATATTCGATCGTTTTCACAAATAATCAAAGACAAGGTCAGATTATTGAGTTTGATCTACAATTCAACTGAGACTCGACGAATTTTCATCCTGACTCTCTTCACCCACTCTATGTAATTCTCGAGATAACTCCAACGGCAAAATACGACACTATTTACTATTTTTTGTTAAGGAGTAGCATTCTAAGACTGTCAAGATATTAACAACCATTAAAAAGACCATTCAAACATTCCTATAAATGAATTTTGTTTGAAAAAGATTCATTATAGCAAGTTTAGAGAAAGGGAAAATATTAACGAAAAAAACAATATCCTAATTTCAAATAAATTTGAGTTTTTTTCCTTCATATGGACATCTTAAAAAGTATGTATATAATGAAATATATTTTAAGATAATGTATAATCTCTATGGAATGAGAAAAAGTTAAATGTTCAACAATACAGGTTTCTAAAAAATTTTTATAAATTTTCAATGGAACATCGTGGAAAGTTGAGCAACACACGGTTTTTCCAGGAACTTTTCATTCTATGATTTAGGGTAAAGGCTACTTGTTTTCTCTTGAATCTTACGTAGCTATAAGTTACGCTGTAAAACACCTTAAACTCGTAGTAATTGCGCTGAAAGTTTTGTTAAATGATTAATACGGTAAAAAGTTTATTTTCTTTTGGGAATATACAGGCGATGGCCATGAACAAATGTCGGAATAGTTGAGTTCTGAAAATCAATTTTTCGAAATCTTTCTCATTATTGAAGCATAAACTCTAGAGAAGTGCTTCAGCTATGTCTGACTGAAAGTATTGAGCGATAAAATAAAATCTATTGAATAACAGCGAACATGTTCCTAATCGGCGATAGAATTTAATTTCTTCGTACTACTAGTAGTATTGATTTCGAACATAAAATGATGCATGAATAATAAGAAAAAGAAACTGTGCGTTAGCCGGGAGTCGAACCCGGGTCGGCTGCTTGGAAGGCAACCATGCTAACCGTTACACCACCAACGCTCAATATTATTGTCTTGAGATTCGATGGTATTCTCTGTTATCTCAAAGAAGGCATAAAAACTAATCAAAATAATTTCTGATAATTTATTCCGTTGCAGTATTATTATTTAAACACTGAACTATGTCAAGAATTGGCTAGTTCATCATTAGGAAGTCAATGTAAAATGTTGTATGTGACTACTGAGCTTCAAAGTAATATTGTTTTTCTTTGTCAATACCATTTCGACGACATTAAGTATTGGTTTGTGAATGCAAGAATGATTATCGAAATTCTAGTATTTACGCAACAGCCAAGAGGGTAAATAGAGATTAACTTTTCAAGTAGCTACACGTTCAAGCACCATTCACGTACTAGATTTGCAAAAATTTATGAAATAACTAGAGTTATAATTGGACTCTTCGTCAAATTCTAATAAATTTAACTATTCAAAAGATTTTCTCTAATGCATCAGTAATTGTAAGTAAGTAGTGTATAATGTAGATTGATAGTGAAAATAGAAAGCAATAGCTCTCTGTTATCTAGCCGTGAGAGAAGGGTGAGGGTATGGGTGTAGTTCAAAAGGTAATAGACACTCACACCCACATCCACGTTTTTCGGTGCTGAACTCCATTGAGTCGAGTAAGATGCGTTCTCGCCAATGATTTTTTCTTGTCATTGAAATCTCATCGATCGACTCGATTGCACCAATTAGATCGAGAATTCGTCAATGAATCAAGAAAAAAACAAAAACGAGAAAAAATTATTAAGAATAAGCAACGTATTTTTTCTCCTTTCAATATTGATTAATCTCTGATGAAAGAAACAAGACACTTGTAAGGATTAGTATTATATAATGCTAAATCAATAGTAAGACAAGTATTACCACACGGATCTAACGCACTCCTCATTACGATCATTAATCACCTCAAAAAGACAAATAGCCGAAAGTGCAATAGAGTCCTGTAGCTCAACAATTAGCTGGCACAGCTTTGCACCCTGCATCATTTGATATATAGTGACAATAGTAACGGTAGCTTTGAAGTTGTAACTAATGTAGAACTTATTCAGAAAAAAGGATAAAAAATGAATAAGATGAGAATGGAGAAGAGCCGATAATAGCTACGAGAACATATGTCATTTAAAATCGTTATTGTTGTAGCTGTGGCAGTTCCAGTAAGCCAGCTGATGTCATTTTTGTAACATAATCTTGAATTGCATGTTCGATGGCTCCAGTCCGACTTTTCCATTGTGTACTTTCACCTATGATGGTTTCACTTAAAGATGAACACCAGAATTTGCCACTCCATTTCCACTTCCAATCATGAAAACCGCCTTTGAATTGTGACTTGCATGTTGTGCCAAAAGCTTGTTTTTCATCCATATCACTCCACGAATTGTACTTTTGGTAAACTGCCGTACCCACGGCAATACCGCAAGCAATCCATTGTTGAGCAATGCATGATGTTAAATCTAAACTTTAAGCACAGACTCGATCATGGAAATATGCACTGAAAAGCAGGATAACTAAGATAAAGTGAGGAACCCTTATAGCATACGTTTTCTTGTTCCGAAATAAAGCGAAAGAAAAAAGTGTTTTGAAGCCGCAGGTATACAAGCATTTTTATAGTCTTCAAGTGTATTTCTTCACTTCCTCTTACAATTTGTCATATTCATCGTCATGACTTGCAGTGCAGCTGATATTCTACGTAAAATCATACCATGCTCAACAGCAGGCATTCGGTGTCTACTGTCACCACACAACTGAAGTGGTGTTGAGTGCGCAATAATATAATACGAAACGTGCACTTCCTTTCGCAAGCTACTTCTGTCTCATCTGTTGTGACTCCACTAGGATCAAGCGACAAAGTAAGAGAACGTTTTTTTCTCTCTCTCTTCATTCAACAGGTCATAACTGTGGCAATGTGTAGTCTTTAAGCAGGCATTTCGTTTGTTCGCTCTAACTGATGTTAAATATCCTTCAAGTTACACAGATTCCTCAGGACATTGAAAATAAGTCGAATTAGAGAAATGATTTTGCAACGTCATAATAATTTCTTCTCACAAGAAAACGATCAAAACCTTCCGAAAATTCAGCAACATTTCTCTTATATCTTACAGATGATCTTAGATTTATATCTCTATGAGTGCTATCCAAGACTAATTGCCGTGGAATGTCAAATGATATAGAATATTCCTTAATTTCAAGTACAAAGAAATAAGAGAGCTATTAATGGATTTGACTCGATTTTTTCCTTGGAATTTCGAGATTTACCATGAATAGTCATAGATAAAGTGAGTGCACCTTAGAACATGTATAATGAATTGTATTGAAAATGGAGAAAAAAGCTTGTTAGCGCAGCCCCTTTGGGGCTGAAATGTGGAACTCACATATGCTCTCTGGCCTCATTATAGTAATACAAAAAACGTAAAATGAAAAATTTCTCGTAAACTATTTTTGTT